AAATATGAAGAGCCTGCACTGCAAACCGCGTGTGTGGTGGTTTCACCCTTTTTGTTTGCAGTCAAACACAGTCGCTCTCTCTCTCATCCCCCCTCCAGGGACTAGGGGAGAGAATTGGAAAGGGCAAGGGAACTCAGGGGTTGAGATAAAAACTATTTACTAATTAAAATAAAATGATAATCATAACAGCAGTAATAACAGAATATAGAAATGAGTGATGCACAGTGCAATTGCTCACCACCCGCTGACTGATGCCCAGCCTGTCCCAGCCAGCGACCCCGGAGCAGAGACAGTCCCCAAACCCAACCCGCAATCCCGGGAGAGCCAGAGCCCGAGCCATCCCCGAGAGAATCCCCAGCTTCCCGCTCAGCCCTGGGCAATGTCCTGCCCGTGGGGGACAGGAGATGGAATATCTCATTGCAGAGCCAAATGCCAATTGGGGGTTTGCTAATTACTGCGCTGCCCCCTCCCAGCCCTTTGCACTTGCAAACTGGCAAAACATGATGGCCTTGGACTTCCAGCAGCAACTGAAAACATCAGTAACTGCTCAACATTCTCCTCATCACAAATCCCCCACTGAACCTGAACCACAGCCACTCTGGCTGCTGAGAAGAACATTAACCCCATCCTGGCCAATCCAGGGCTCCAGGCTTGCATGGTCGTTCCCCTCCTCTCCACGACGATGCAGGCTGGGTAACACAGTGCCCTTTCCTCTGCAGGATGGCGAAGTGATCGGGGTGAACACTATGAAGGTGACATCAGGCATCTCTTTTGCCATCCCCTCGGACCGGCTGCGGAAGTTCCTGCAAAAGGAGGAGCAGCGCAAAAGTGAGTTGGGTGCCTCCCTACTCGGGTACTGGGGGGAGGAGGAGGCCAGAAGGAGGAGGATGAAAGAAGGAAACTGTCACAGCTGGGCCCTGGGGCCTTTTTCTGAGAGAAGGGCAAGCAGAGGGGGAGGGGGAGTGTTTCAGGGTGAGAAGATTCTCCCATCTGTCATGAAACTCCCCCCTGCCGTGGGAGAGCTGTGCCTCTACTTCCCTGCCCACAGGGGCCTAACAAACTGCAAGGAGCATGTTGCCTTGTGTCTGCTGCAGGTAAAGACTTTTTAAAGTGTCCTGAGTAGCTTGCACGTAAGTCCCCAGGAGTAGGTGAGGATTATTTTAGGTTTTTTTTTCTCCATTGCTACTTTTCAGTAGATCTCAGCACACGGGGAAATTGTTGGACCATTATTTGGAGTTGAAAAAAGGGAAAGGATGACCTGGAAACCGGGGGCTGCTTAGCCTTGTGTGTTCTAATGGAAACCCAGGTGCAGGGTTCAGCTGTGTCATAAAGGACAGGTAGTTGATTTACTGCTGTAGAACATTGCCTCTTTTTGTTCTTTTGTGTTTGTGATATTTATTTAATGCAGACTCTTGCTTTCCGGTTCTCATGTTGACACCCCGGGGTGATATTCTCTGTCAAAAAAATGACAGCTCAGACCAGGAAAGCAAAGCATGCAGTACCTGTAAAGCTTTAACTGGTAAATGGAGCATAAATAAGCTGTTGGTAGGGAATCAGAACGACTCTCTCTGCATGGTGTCTGCCGTGAGGTGTGTGGGCTGTGTGACTCGGCTGGCCCAGCCCAGCGCTGTTTTGAGTGCGTGTCTGTTCCCAGCCTTGTTGTTTGATGTCGTTCCCTTCACAGGCTCTTGGTTTGGCAACGCAGAGACAAAGCGCCGTTACATAGGAGTGATGATGCTGACTCTGACACCCAGGTATGTGCTCAAAGGTCAGGGGCCAACAGACTGGTCTTGGTGGAGCGTGGTGAACGTGTGATGGGATCTTCCAAACTGAGAGTGCTTGTTTTTCATAGAATCATAGAATGGTTTGGGTTGGAAGGGACCTTAAAGCTCATCCAGTCCCAACCCCCCTGCCAGCAGCAGGGACACCTTCCACTAGACC